TTAAATAAAAAAAAATAATCGAGACTATGCTGTTTATATTAATGATTTTAGTAATGATGACCGAGACTATGCAAAAATTTCACTCGCTTCTTTCTCGGCTCATAGTCGATCAAATTGACTGAAATTTTCAGCAAATTACCTTTACACTATGTAGTTTTTAACTATTATAGCGAGAACTGCCATCTCTTTATCTTATCTCCCATAATGTATCTTTAATAAAAACAATTTAATATAAGACCTTGATTAAGGATGCATTATGAAAGATTTAGATAAAGAGCTAAAAGTGCTCGCTATAATAGTTTTAAAATAGTCAATGGAAAAGGAATATATTAAAATTTCAGTCAAATTATTCCATTCTGTACGGAGTTATGAATGTTTGAAGAATATCATAGTCTCGATTTTCATTGCTACCGTTGTTACGATAATAAACAAAGCCTTGCCGGCGTGGTTTCCCCTTGTCAGTGATGCAGGATGGAGGGCCTGGCAAGGACAGCTGTCTAGTCGTTCGGATGGGACGAAAAACGGAGGTCCCGTGTACACATTGGCGTGCACGTAAAATATCCCTTGGCAGTTGGAATTCGATATAAGAGTAGGCCGTAGCGTCGCTGCCCGGGCAAAATTTCCCTCATAGCACACTGTATGGCGTATGCCCGTCTTCATTAGCCCAGGTTAGGAGCAGAACAGCAGGACGTTAAACCCCATTTTATTTCATTTCATTTCATTTACAAAGCTTTGCTTATCCATTTTAAAATTAAATTATCAAATTGCGATTGTGTTTCAATCCGTTTAAAATCACAACCACCCGATAGTCTAGAGAGTTGATTATGGGCTTGTCATGTGAATAAATGTTTAATTAATAATTTTTATAACATTTGAAGCCAGAAGAAATACCTGCAATAGTCAGATTTAGCTCTTACGTAATGTATCTTTAATTGCTAGCCACTGATCTATTTACTCAATCTTTCCAGATACCATTACTGAATTTGTGTAGTCATTGTTGACTTTTTTTATTTGTTGGGTGAATACTGTTGTGTATATAAGTTTCAACATTTCAACGGTTCATTCCCAGATCGTCGACTCGCCAGATTTCAGGGGAAAAGCGTTAAAGGCTTGAGTGACCAAGAACAATAAGCCTTAGCTGGAGGATAAAACTAAGGCAAGTAACTTGGGGAGAATTTATTATTTTTATACGCCCACATTGTCCGTCCACAATTGTTTGTGAACACTCTACAGGTCACAATTTTTATCCGATTTCAATAAAACTTGAAATATAGCTTTATCTCCCTAAGATCTCGATTCCTTTCGATATTGGCATGTAACGTCATGGATTATGGCCCCTGATTGTACGAAAAATTACGTTTTTAGCTTGTGAACACTGTACAGGTCGCAATTTTTATCCGATTTCTTTTAAACTTAAAATATATGTTTAAAACCCACAGACCGCGGTTCCTGTCGATATTCGCGCATATCGGACCATAACTTCCTGAATTATGGCCCCTGATTGTACGAAAAATCGCGTTTTTAGCTTGTGGACCCAATAGAGGTCACAATTTTTATCGATTTAAAGAAAACGTTTGATTATATCACCATTACACCCTAAGGATGGCTGAGTTCGAATTTCGTAAAAATTGGACCGAAACTGACAGACAAAATGACCGCCCCTCGTTCGCAAATAGTGTCAAAATAATTGTGTATCAGGGTTGTCGACCCCCTGGAGGTCTCAATTTTCATCTGATTTTGATGAAACTTGAAATGCATGTTTATACCCCAAATAACTTGGCTCCTTTTCATTTTCGTACATATTGAATCGTAACTTCCTGAATTATGGCCCCCGATTGTACGAACAATCGCGTTTATAGCTTATGGTCCTTCTAGAGGTCACATTATTATCCAATTAAAAAAACCGTTCGAATATATCACAGTTACACCGTAATGTCTGATGAGTTCGAATTTCGTGAAAATCGGGTCAAAACTGCCAGACAAAATGGACGCCCATCGTACGCAAACAGTGTAAAAATCTGGTAAATCAAGGTTGTGGACCCTCTAGAGGTCACAATTTTGATCCAATTTCGATAAAACTTGAAATACATGTTTGTAACCCAAAGACAATGGTTCCTTTCGGTATTCGAGCAGATCGGATCGTATCTTCCTGAATTATGGCCCTTGATTGAAAAAAGAACAAAAAATCACGTTTTTAGCTTGCGGTCTAAGTGGAGGTCGCAATTTTTATCCGATTTAAAAAAAAACGTGTGAATATATCACCATTACACACATTAAGATCTTGGTTCCTTTTGATAATCGCAGATACCCAAACTTAACTTCCAGGATTATGGCACCTGATTGTTCGAAAAATGCATTTTTAGGTTGTGGATTCTCTAGAGTTCACAATTTTTTTCTGATTTTAAAAACCGTATAAATACATCACCATTCCACCATATATAATGAAGGTTAAATTCGAATTTCGTAAAAATCGAAATGAAACTGCCCAACAAAATGGGTGCTCTTTGTACGCAAATTGTGTAGAAGTGTGTAATACGAAGGTTGTGGACCCTCTAGAGGTCACAATTTTTATCCAATTTGATGAAACTTAAAACATATCTTTATCTCCCAAAGATCCCAGTCCCTTTCGATATTTGCACATTTCAGGCCATAACTTTCTGCATTATTGCCCCTGGTTGTACAAAAAATCGCGTTTGTTTTTAGCTTGTTCTATATCCATCTCTTGGAAAATGTGGGCGTATCCTGCCTGGCAGCCGCTGGTTAATTTATTTTAACACATAATAACAAAGTTTCAAATTTTAACACGCATAAAGTGGCCAACATAATCTAAGAATTTTAACAAGTCCATTATTCCTTGTTCGTATTTAAATTTAGCATCTTCAATCTTTCGGTTCAGATCTGTATTTCTTCCCTTTAGGTGGTTTTTGCTGGTCACTGAAATATTATAATAGTTGGATTTCAATTGTCTTTTTTGTTCTTCTTGTAGAAATGCCATTGGATGCGCTTTTTCAATTAACTTTTTTAACCGTCCGTGCCAATTCCTTCTAAGCAGTTTTTTGTTCGTTGTGGTGCCATTGGGTTGTCGTGAATTGGCCATCTAGCCATTGGGTAACCATATAGTCTGCCATTTGAGTAGGCCTGTATCTTTCATCATCTGGTACTTCGGCCATTATCTGAATCCATGCTTCGTCAATCTGCAAATGAAATGAAATGAAATGAAATTGGGTTTTAACGTCCTATTGTTCTGCTCCTATACTGAGCTAATGAAGACGGGCTTACGCCATGCAGTGTGCAATGGGGGAAATTTTGCCCGGGCAGCGGCACTACGGCGTAGCCTACTCTTATATCGAATTCACTGTCAAGGGATCTTTTACGTGCACGCCAATGTGTACACGGGGCTTCGGTTTTTCGTCCCATCCGCACGACTAGACAGCTGTCCTTGTCAAGCCCATCCGTCCTGCATCACTGATAAGGGGAGCCAACGTTTTACCCGCTTAGCCACCGTGATCTCCAATCTGAAAATGAAAGAAAGATACATTTTATAAAGTGTTTATATTTACTATATATTTATATTTATAAACTTACTCGATAATTAAGTTTGCTTGGGAAAAAATATTTCAATACTTACATCAGTCACAGGTAGTAATGGGATCCCAATACAGCGTCTGATGAATTTACTTGTTTCGTCACTATCTCGGTAAGAAGTTAGCAGTTACCTTTTTCTTGAAATTTACCTCATACGAGAAATCGCAGAGAAAAGGTTTAAACCGCGGAGGAAAGGTTTACGCCGCAGAGAAAACTTTATACCGCGGAGAAAATGTTTACACCGCGAGAAAAGGTTTACTCCGCGGTGTAAACCTTTTCTCCGCGGTGTAAATATTTTCTTCGCGGTGTAAATATTTTCTCCGCCGTGAAAACGTTTTATATGCGGTGTAAACATATTCATATATATTATTTAAGCATATACAGTTCTCTATAGTTTATTCTTGATAACAATCATAAGTCAAAATACACAAACACCCTCTTTCATGCTTGAAGACGATTCAACCTCAAGATTAATGTCTGGTTATAATTTAACTGAAGTCAATTATGAATATTATTCGAGGTCACCGCGTTGTTTTAGCAAATCAAAAGTGTCTGTCGTTCAATCTTAACTGACGACCTCGGAAACGGATAGAGAGTAACACCGATCATATTATCTTTATGCTTATACCTACGATGTTGTAAATGGTCAACCCCCTACAAAATTATGATGAGGATATTGCTAAATGTGGTCCCCATTGTGCCTATAAAGATTGAAACCAACGGAATGTTGAGCAAAAAGCTACAGCCGGTGATGTTACAGCCATTTAACATTGAAGTCAATAGGCAAATAATTACTAGTCTGAGCCCGTATAATAAACAGAGTTACCTCCCGTTAATTGCAGTGAAAGAGTCCAACATGGAGGTTTGGCTGTGTTAAACTAATAAATGATCTTGACCTTCATAAATCATAGCCTAAGGCATTCACGGGGTCATTCTCGTTGATTATTAAACACTTCTGAGATATACAGCTCCTCGTGGCTCCGCTACCTAACAATCTCATAACTTATCGGAAAAAGTTTCACAATTTTGGGGAAGCGGGTCTTCATTCTTTTTTTCTGCACAACATAAAAAAAAATCGTGACCAGACCGCATCGCCTGATTTTTACATAATTATAAAGAGAATAAAGCCTTTTCTTACACCAGTGACCCAAAGGAGTTCATGATACGTCATGCTCACATTGATTTACAAAGGGTTAAAGATGGTATATCGCAAAACTAGATAAGGGGAGACAAATCTAAAGCTGTTAGCGGTTTCAAATCATTTATTTTCAATGCATACTCATTGCGCTGAACGTATTTTAGACTGACATAAGAACACTTTGTATGAAATTATTGTTAGGCAAATGACGGTGAACCATAGAATACAAATATAAATGTTTATTAAACGGCTATTCATAACAGTTTTTGTTACGGTCCTAAATTTCAAGCCATTTTGAAAGTGTTACTCGAGCTAGCTATAGGTGTGTAGGCCTATTATACGACTAATTGTCGTGTCTAGTTTTAGCCAAAGTAAAACAATTGACTGGGAATCGTTTTAATCTGTTTAGATCACGTAAGCATGAATATAATTTTTGTTCTAAGCTGCTGAATATTTTCACCAACTTCGTGTGTTTAAAACGGGGTTTAACGCCCTACTTTTCTGCATCAACTACTCTAAGGGAAATGTTGCCCGGGCAGCGGGGCTGTACGGCCTATTCTTATTTCGAATTTCAACTGTCAAGGGATCTTTTACGCGCACGACATTGTTTACACGGAACCTAGTTTATTTTTGTTCCATCCGAACGACTAGACGCGATTCCTTGCCATGACCTGCGGCTTGCACCACTGACAAGGGGAAACCGCACTGGAAAATCCCTAGGAACTTTCTCGACCAACACTGGAATCGAACCCAGTACCTTCTGGTTAGCGAGCCATTGCCTCACCCACTGAACCACTGCGGCCCACATTTTATGAGTAGGGCGTAGAACGGGATCATTACAGTGAATGCAACATACGCCGCACATTTTTACCAATCATAATGAAATAAGGTAAATATTCACACGTGGCGTAATGTCGGAACCCCGACTAGATTGCAGAAGACCAGTTAAAGGGCGTAGGACATTAAAATAGACGACAATTAGTCTAAAAAGAAATATTAACGTAATATGAATGTATAAGATAATATTTTATTGTGTCTAAGCATCCCGTTTAAATGGCAGCATACAAATACAAATAAAACATTAAATATGATGAACATAATGACGCTGGCTAATGAAAGAAAGAAGAGAAAGAGAGAAATGGGGTTTAACGTCCACTCGACACAAACTAGGTCATTTCGGGACTAACATATGGTTTTATTTTATTTCAATAATTCGCTTGCGCGTAGGGGTCTTTAGCAGTGGGAGGAAACGGGACGACCCGGAGAAAACTCACGAGGTTGGACAGGCGACCCTATTCCTTGTCACGTACAACCGGGGATTCGAAACCACGCCAGTCGACTCAATGACAGACTTTATGATACAGCGCGCGCTCGCTAACCATTCAGCCATTCAGCCATCCAACCCGCCAATAAAAGAAAGAAGGAAACAAACAAACAAAAAAAAGGCACCCAAAAAACAAAACCAACTATATTTACATGTATACACGCCTGTAAAACATGTACATCTATATGTACATGTACTGACAGGGGCTATTAAACATACATTATGCAAGAGCTAAATTTGCCTATTGCAGGTCTTTCTTTAGGCCTGAAATGTTATCTATATTATTAATTAGACATTAATTAACTGATCCAGACCATAATCAACTCTAGATGGCATCGCTAGCCTGAGATCTTAAATGGATTGTGAGCCGATTTACTGCATAACTTTCCTTCTCGATTAAACGATTAAATGGATAATCGAGACTATGCGGTTTATCGTACTGACTTTAGTAATGATGACCGAGGCTAGGCAGAAATTGCATTCGCTTAGTTCTCGGTTCATAGTGGATCAATTTGAATGAAATTTTCAGCAAATTGCCTTTACGTTATCTAGTTTTTAATTATTATAGTGAGAACTGCCAACTCGTTATAGAATCTCCCATAATGCATCTTTAAGAGACATTATTCATTAGGCCTCACATTTTATATTAATTATTAACCAAACACTTATTAACATGACAAGACCATCATCAACTCTCGATGTCATCGGATGCTGGAGATTCCAACCAGTCCAGAACGGTTCGGTCATTTAATGATTCAATTCAAAAATGAAGATGCAAGGCCAAGCCTCGAATATACCAGTACATGGAATGATTTATATCCAATATAAAAATATATAATTCTTAATCAATTATGTTGGTGAAATACTTGAACAGTCCAAATTGGACAGTCCTTACGTAACGTCTGCTTAGTTCATTATACACGTTATTTAATTATTATTTTGTCGTTTGTGAATCAGCCATCACTAAATACTTCCGCATTGTCTTGTAGGATATGTTTTCTTTGCTCATTACATGGCGCGCAAAACCATACAATACACGACTCGTGTAATAATTATAAAATGTTGATTGTATCTTAAATATTAGATATTAGGATCCTATATTTTTACTTCAAGATAACAAAATCAATAATTATTGAAATGAACCAATATTGAATTCTAATTCTTGTTTTTAATTTCGAATGTTGTGGCTAATATTGATTTAGAGGTTTAGCCCCTTTAAATAAGCTCAAATTATGACGTAGATATCCGGTGAGTTAATGTGATAATAAAAATATAATGAAAACATATTTCAGGTTTTGTGATACATTTTACAAGTAAAATTATTACTTATCTAAGGACCGGTAGACTAATAAAATGGATACCGTTGACTTTCAAAGCTATTGGCGTGGTAGTCTGATCTATTTACTAGAAATAAAGTTGTCGCCTTTGAAAACGTGTCAAGGCCAAAAATGCCCATTTTAATAGCTCACTCGTTCGGCAATAGATAAGAAGGGGGAAATAAATGGAAGTTTAGCTTAAATGGCAAGAAAAAACAACCAACGCCCCAGTTCTCAATAAGTACTGGTTCAAAACAATCAACGCCCCAGTTCTCACTATAAGTACTAGTTCAAAACAAAACGTCTCAGCTCTCACTAAGTAATGGTTCCGGTCATTATCGGGTAACCGCCAGTGGATATATTTCGACATTCGGGACGCAATAATTGTCAAGAAAGTTCTCTCAGTAGTGCAGGACGGAGGGTCTTTCAAGGACAGCGTCTAGTCGTTAGGGTGGGACGAAAAACCGAGATCCTGTGTACACATTGGCGTGCACATAACAGAATCACTGACAGCTGGAATTCGAAACAAGAGTAAGTCATAACGCCGCCGTTTAAGCCAAAATGTCAATTGTAATATGAATGTATATAAACTGTTTTATTGTAATTTATGATCAGTTATGTTTGGCGAAATACGAGAAGAGTTCAAATTGAATGACAGTCTTTGGCGTCCGGTTACTCCAGTCTACACCGGTAGTATTCTCCTGTGGGATATGTTTAGCCCCGTTTAGCTAGTTGCTTCATTACAAATGGCGCTCGAAAGCACTCTAGCACCTGATTCGTGTGTCCATTTTAAAATTGTCATTTTGTCTTAAATATTGTATATCACATGTCATAAGCCAATCTTTTCACGGTAAGATAACAACATCAATGTTGATTTAAATTGACCAATAAGTTGTGTCGAAGACTGTGGATATATTGAGTCATAGGATTGCCTCCTTATATTTGTTGTTCGTCAGTACACCCAAGTTGAATATTGGCACTATCTATATATTAAATATGTAAGTTAAAATATTCGGTTTAACGATAAGATAGATCGGACATATCGTAGTGGTTTCATTTTATGGGTGATTTCCCGTGAAGGTTGCTTAATTAACGGTAAGATAGCGTTTATATATCGCAGTTAAATGCAAAAGCTGAACAGTCTAGCCAACTAAACAGATCATTAAATTGTTAAACAACACGGGATGTAGGCAAAAATAAATTACATCTTGGTAAATAGATCACCGCACACATTGAAGGGCGGCGTAAAGCTGGAACTCAATATTAACTAGAGATTTCGAAATTATTGGCCCATTCCAATTAATAGTGCCTCCCGATACCCAATATATAACACAATGTGAACAAATTTAAAATCAGTACACGCCGGCGTGTAATCTATGCTCTCGAGCGCCATTTGTAATGATGAGCCTTTCTGAGCGAGACTAAACGTCAGTGTGTTAGTGGAATGTCAAACCGTACTTCCGATGTAGACTGGAGTAACTAGTCGCGAGCGACTGCCATGCAATTTTGACCTCTCACTTATTTCGACCAATCTGATTAAAATACAGATAGGGTCAAAAGCCGCTAGTATAACCCTGACGCGATCTCCCAGTACAACTGGTCAGATCTTCATGGAGTGTAGGCCATCGAAAGTATAAAAAAAAAAACGAAACGAAAAATAGATCTGTATTTTACTCAGATTGTATTTCGACGAACAAAGCTGATTAGAAAATTCTTACAATAAATGTAAATCAGTTTATATACACTCTTATTACATTAAAGATACATTATGGGAGATTTACTAACGAGTTGGCAGTTCTCACTATAATAGTTAAAAACTAGATAATGTAAAGGCAATTTGCTGAAAATTTCATTCAAATTGATCCACTATGAACCGAGAACAAAGCGATTGAATTTCCGCCTAGCCTTGATCATCATTACTAAAGTCAGTACGATAAACAGCATAGTTTCGATTATCCATTTTATCGTTAAATCGTGAAGGAAAGTTATGCAGTAAATCGGCTCGCAATCCACTAAAGATCGCAGGTTAGCGATGCCATTTAGAGTTGATTATGGTCTGGATAGGTTAATTAATGTCTAATTAATAATTTAGATACCATTTCAGACGCAAAGAAAGACCTGCAATAGACAAATTTAGCTCTTGCATAATGTATATGTTTAATATGTCATTGTGCTCTTTGACCCATTTTCGTCCATTATAGGTTCCAAAGTATGGAGATTTTGCTCCTTTAATCTGATCTACCGCAGATTAAAGCTGAATGATAACAGTTTTTTGGGCTATTTTAAGTGCCTTAAATAAATTGAAACGTATAAAGAAAATGAACAAAAAATGACCTTGTCTTTCAACAGGCCATTATTTGATATTATATATCACTTACTGTCGACTGATTTTCTGCGTGGATAAATGTATTATAAACTCTACAGTCAATTCATTTTCCTGGCTTCAATAACCGTAGAAAAACTCTTAATTTACATAACCTCAGACAAGAATAGTTTAAGCTTGAAAGTGTACACCTATATATGCCAGATTATATATATTATGAAACGAAATAAAGTGCAATGCGGAAGGTGTGCGGTATGATGTCGTTTAATTCCTTTGTTGTATATTACTGCGTCGTATCATTTCATTTTTAAAATCTGCATTTTAGTCTATGGTATGAAAGTCTGTCGCTGTATTTATGTTTATGGTATGAAAGTCAGTAGTTGTATTTTAGTTTATGGTATGAAAGTCTTTATCTGTATTTTAGTTTATGGTATAAAATTCTCTATCTGTA